GAGAGAGAGAGAGAGAGAGAGAGAGAGAGAGAGAGAGAGAGTGTGTGTGTGTGTGTGTGTGTGTGTGAAGTCAGAAGACAACTTGAGAGAGTCTGTTTACTCTTTTTACCTCGTGGGACCTGGGGCTAGAACTCAGCTTATCACTCAGCGGCGCAGGTGGCTTTACCCTTTGAGCCATCTTGCCAACCCAACATCCTACTCTTTTTAAAATCTAATTGTTTTTATTTATTTGCATTTACGTGTGTGTGCCTGCTTGTCTGTATATGTATTCTGTGTATGCAGGTCTCTTGGGGCTACAGTTACAGGCAGTAGTAACTTGCCCTGTGGGTGCTGGGAACTGAACCTGGTCCTCTACAAGATCAATGCTTTTAACCACTGAGTTCTTTTCTGCCCCTAAACATTCTACTTTGAGTAGATCATCAGGCTTTTTTTTTCATCAAACACAGGTGGACTGCTGAGCAAGCACTCTTTCACGGAACTGCACCTCCCCAGGCATCTTTCAGAGTAGCTAGAGGCCAGCCGTGGAGCTCAAGCCTCTAATCCCAGCACTCCAAGGTAGACAGGTGGATCTCTGTGAGTTTGCGGCCAGCCTAGTGTACAAAGAGAGTCCCAGGATAGCCAGGGCTACCCAGAGAAACCTTGTCTCAAAAGACCAAAAACAAAAAACAAACAAAAAGCCCCTACAACAAACAAACAAACAGACAATTAGTTGGATCTTGGATCTGGCCACAGGAACCCATAATTCCTGTTACTTGAGAGGATGATTGCTCTGTTTTCCAGGCTAACTTGGGCAACTTAGTGAAACTGTCTCAAAAAACAAAACAATAAAAAAATTTCGCCTTTTCTTTTTTGAGACAGGATCTCACTCTGAAATCCAGGCTGGCCTGGAAATCACTATGTAGACCCATCTAGCCTCAAACTCAAAGCAATCCCCCGGCTTCAGTCTTCCCAGGCGGGGGAATTATGGGTGTGAACAACCACGCCCCTCAGGAAACTGAGATTTTGAGGGATTTTAAACTGTTGCCCAAAGCCACACAGATACTCCGGAACTGATGTCCAGGATGTGACCCTAATGTCATTCCATCCCCACCTTACTCCGGTCTTTAATTATAGCGGAGCCCGGCTGTAGTTGATTCTGGTATAATGCTCCCACCGAGACAACGCTCTTAATCTGTAACTCTCAAGGGGAAGGTCGATGGAACAAACGGTTCCCCTCTCCCAGAAGTCATACATTTTTCCACGATCACACTTGAGGTGACCGGCCTGTACCTTAAAACGTCCAAAGCCCCTACCTGTCACCGCCCCATAGGGGAAATCGCCACTAGTCCACCCTTTGCTCCGGTAGCGCGCCCGGGCATGCGCCTTGAGGACCGCCTCCCCTCCTCTTTGGAACGCCCCGCTCAGGCCCCGCCCAGCACCACCACCGAGAGCCGATCCCTGAGCTGGAGGGCGGGGCCGCCACGCGAGTGGGCGGGGACTAGGGCTTGTGGAGTGGCTGGAGTCGTGCGCCGGAGTCAGAACTGCGCCTACCGTCCCAGGTGTCGGTCGCCGGAGCCGAGCGAGCAAGCGATGCTACGGCTGCCGCTCCCTGATTGGCTGAGTGTGGCTCTCTCTTGGTTCTGATTGGTCGCGAGTGTTCGGGTATGTAAATGAAGGGGCCTGGTGGGGCGAGGAGAGGGTACCGGCGGCCGGCCGGGTTCTTTAGCGCGTTCGAGCCCCCGGTTAGGTAGATGTTCACCCGGGCTGTCCGGGATCGAGGCGCTCGGGGCCTGTACGTGACGCCCGTCCGGGCCGGGCTGAGTGAATCACGCCGGAGCCCGAGAAGGGGGCGGAGGCGCCGGCTCCCTGGCTCCGGCTGCGTGACTCACCCGCCCCCGCCGCCGCCGCCGCCGCCGCTCCGGGAGGAGCCGCCTCCGCTGCCTTCCGGAAGCGAGGGAAGGCCCTGAGAGCTGAGCGGCCCGCGGGGGTCGCAGCTTGCAAGGGCCGGGGAGGCACAGGCCAGACGCTGAGGAGTGGAGAGGATCCCCGGGTCTGAGGGGCCGGAGTCCCCGGGGAACCCAGGCCGGGGTACCGCTAGGGGGCGCCTGGACTCGGGGGGCGGAGTCAGGGTGGGGGCTGAATTCCTGCGGTTGCCTGCTCCCGGGTCTTCAGCGAAAAGTGTAAAGACTCGATTTTTAGTATTATGCCAGGTCTAGGCAGCGTCCCCAGGACTGAGCCCCTACAGCCTTTGTGCCCCCGGAAGATTGGACTAGGGATCCCAAACCCTAGGCTTCTCACCATGAAGAAAGTATCGATTTTCAAACTTCTGTCAATGACTGGCTCCCGCTGCCCATGGCTCTCTCTCCCCAATAAGTTCGGGATCCACCACTTCCTTGCATGACTATTAACAGCTTAGGCTCTAAACCGAAGCGGTCAGCATCCCAGCGAGTGCAGCAGCCTCCGAAGGCAGTTCAAGCCCACTGTCCCCAAATCTTCACCCCAACACCAGTCCTCCCCGAGGCAGGAGCTCACAGCACCGCTCATCCCCCTGCCTGGGTCCTCCCTCCATGACTCTGCCCTGTCACTCTGAAAATCCAAACCTCCTACTTCTGCCCGCGCCTCCTGCCTGCTACCCACCCCCACTGGGACTCCTACCGTGACACTCTGTGCGCTTGCTCCTTGTGTGGTGGTTTGTTTTTTTTTTTTTCCTTTCTTTTTTTTTTTTTTTTTTTTCTTCTTCCCCAGCTAAGGTTTGCCTCTCTCGGTCTCGGTGGCTCTTCCGGGAATGCCTGGCCCTGGTTTCCATAGCCTACACTGCATAAATCAGAGCTCAGCTCCAATGTATCTTTACAAAAACTGCCCTGACTACCTCCAGGATGGCACCTTCCTACCATTATCAGTACATTTCCTGTATTTGATTATTTAGTGTTCGATGCAAAGCAGGTACTCTGTATTGAACTGTATAAGAAGGCTACATTTACAATCAAGAGGCAGTACATACCTGTAATCCTAACCCTTGGGAGACTGCGGCAGGAGGATTGCCTGGAATAGCCAACCAGCCTGGGGTACAGTGTGAGGCCCTGTCTCAAAAGAGCAAAAATCAGCTTGAAAAAATAAGAAAATGAAAAGAGCAAAACCAAAAAGTACTTGCAAATAAATACTAACTATGGCGGTTAGGAGCTTGCTGCTCCTACAGAGGACCTAAGTTAGGTTCCCAGCACGAAAATCAGATGGCTCACACTGCAACTCCAGCTCCAGGGACCCCAGTAGCTGGCTTCGTTGGGCATCTGCGTGTGTGTGTGTGTGTGTGTGTGTGTGTGTGTGTGTGTGTGTGTGTGTACACATGAACATAAAATTTAAAATAAAAGTAAAACTTGAAAGTACTAATGCCTATGTCGCAGGGGCTGTTTGTTCTTTTCATCTACTCTGTATAGCAACTTACAGTGTATCTTAGAAGTTCACGGAGGGGGCTCAGTGGGTAGAATGTTTGCTTTACATGCAGGAAGCCCTAGGTTCCATCCCAGCATTCTGTAGACCAAGTCTGGTGGCGCACACCTGTAATCCCAGCACTGGGGAGGTGGGGAAGGGAAGATCGGAAGTTGGCTCCATAGCAAGGTCGAGGCCGTGTTGGCTTAGAAACCCTAGACTGGGAGGTTAGCTGACCTGTCAGGCTCACGCTGACAGCAGTTGTCAGAGCTGGGCGTGTTCTGAATATCGGCTTTCCATAACCGAGTGCTTCCTTCCTCTGCAGACGATGCTGAGCAAGGGTTTGAAGCGTAAACGGGAGGAGGAGGAGGAGGAGAAGGAAGCTCTCTCAGTGGACTCCTGGTGGTTGGATCAAAGCCACCCAGCAGTGGCACAGACCCCTCCGGCCGTAGCTTCCAGTTCTCTGTTTGACCTCTCCGTGCTCAAGCTTCATCATAGCCTGCGGCAGAGTGAGCCAGACCTCCGGCACCTGGTGCTGGTGGTGAACACGCTGCGGCGCATCCAGGCATCCATGGAACCTACAACCGCCCTGCCTCCTGTGCCCATGCCACCCTCGACCCCCTCTGTGACAGACAGCCTTCTGGCGAGCTCCGACGCTGGCCTCTCAGCCTCCATGGCCAGCCTCCTGGAAGATCTCAACCACATTGAGGACCTGAACCAGGTCCCCCAACCCCAAGCAGATGAGGGGCCCCCAGGCCGCTCCGTTGGGGGTGTCCCGCCTAACCTGGGCACCTTGGACTTGCTAGGCCCAGCCACTGGCTGTCTGCTGGACGATGGACTGGAGGGCTTATTTGAGGACATTGATACCTCCATGTATGACAGTGAACTTTGGGTACCAGCCTCTGAGGGGCTCAAACCTGGCCCTGAGAATGGTCCAGCCAAGGAGGAAACTCCAGAGTTGGACGAGGCTGAACTGGACTACCTCATGGACGTATTAGTAGGCACACAGGCACTAGAACGGCCACCGGGGCCTGGGCGCTGACCCCTAGACCTAGGGATGGTTGGCTGGCATCTGAGTTGAGCCTGATGGTTAGACCATTCCACCTTGGCATGACACAGGAGGGGTCACCTTGGAGAGGCAGTGCCGAGTCCTGGGCAACTTCACATCCCTCCACGGGAAATGACACCTGGTGACTGCAGTGTGTTTGGGCCAGGCTGGGGCTTGGACTGATCCCCTGGGATAATAGTCTGGGCTATCCCATCCCATTATCCCCAGTGTGGGAAGCGACCTCGTAATTTTTGAAATTAAAGACAGCTTTGGGAAATATTAAGTGCGTGTGCTTTTTTGCATCTGTGCCAGTCAAGGAAGAAATAACATCAAACTCATAATCCCGTGACACCTCCACAGTTATAGGGGACTAAAATTCACGTCCGGCATGAAGTATCTTTGAGCACAGGGCAGGAACTTTCAGGTCTCCCAAAATAAAGTCACTGAGCTTAGTGGAGAGAAGGCTGGAGGTTCAGGGGCAGGCAGCTGGCTTTCCTTCTAGAAGCAATCCTGGTCCGGGCAAGCCAGGGCCACCTGCCTGCCTGAGCGCCGTGCTGGGCCTGGCCGGAGCCGTGTGTCTGCGGCCGCCCCCGCGGTCCAGCTGCATTCCTGGCCCGGCTGGGAGGGGCCGCACACTCACAGCGCTGGCACGGGACCCGGGCTGCGTCCTTCCTGGCGGCCGTGGGGGCAGGGCAGGGCAGGGCCCGGGGAGCGGAAGGATGGTGGGGAGGGCAGGGAGGGAGGAGCCGGGGGCTGGACTGCCACCGAAAGGGCAGGATGGGTCCTGGATCCGGGGACAGTGACACGGGAGGGAGGGCCACTCCTGCCTCCCCAGGGGCCGGAAGCTCCAAGACTGAGGCTTGGGTGGAGCCGGAGAGGCGGGAGCTGCAGGCAGCCCCAGGGGCCGGGAAGGGGCGGGCGGAGCTTGGCTTCCTGGAGCAGCGGAGGAAGCTGTGCCCATTTCTGGAAGTGGCTGAGGCGGGCCACCGAGAGAAGCGGATGGGACATGGCTGCAACTGCTGCCAGGTTAAGGCTCGTCTAAGCTCCCGAACCCAAACCCTGGAGACTCCCATGCCTAGACCGCAGGACATCGACGGCCAGGGGCCGAGACCTTGGGCGCTTGGGCTGAGCTCTGCTGCTCCCCCTTGTGTCTGGTTTGGAGATCTACAATGGAACAGTCTGGTGTGGGTCTCCCGGGTTGTTTTGTTTGTTTGTTTGTTTTAGACGAGGCTCAAGTAGCCTAGATGGCCTCTAGCTCACTTTGTAACGGAGGCTAGCCTTGAACTCTTGATCCTTCTGCCTTTACCTCCTTATATGCTGGGATTACAGGAATGTGCAACTGTAGTGTTTGAGATAGATTTTCACTAGGTATACCAGCAGGGTGGCCTTAAACTTACCATGTAGTCCCGGCTGGCCTATTCATTCATTCGTTTATTTGTTTATTATGTTTTTGAGGCAGGGTCTATGTATTCTTGAAACCCTCTACGTATACCAGGCTGGCCTTGAACTCACAGGGATCCACCTGCCCCTGTCTCCTGAGCGTTGAGTTTAAAGGCATGTGCCACCACTGCCTGGCTGTTTTTTGAGACGGTGTCCTTAATATAGTCTACACAGACCTTGAACTCATCAGTCCCCTTCCTCAGCCTCCAGGCTTAAACTTACCTTTTACACAGGGCTGGGTACACAATAGGTGTTAACAACTACTGAAATAAAGAGGGAGGAGACGGTGGCTGAGGACAGTTTGTAGTGGTGGCGAATGCCTTTGGAGGGGAGCTGTCCTGGGGGTGTCATGGCCTGAATACACAATGGCTGTGTGAAAAGGAGTCACAGTGCCAGCCAGGGCCAGCACTTTGCTTGGAATGCAGTGGGCCCTGGAATCTGCTGGCTGAGGAGGCGTGCCCTTCTGGAGTAGAACCTGAGCATCAGCTGGACTGTAGAGTCTAGAGAGATATCCCGAGGTCAGTTGTGAGGAGAAAGGGACAGGACCCCAAATACAAACTCATCATAAGGGCTCCAGTGAGATGGTACAGAGGATTTGCCTTTTGTACGGAACTCGAGCTCTTTCCTGAAGGCACTTGACCTTCATCTCCAGAGATGTAAATGCATGGTACCTGGGACATAAAAATGGAACAGATGCACAGCATGCAACCTGTACAGCTAAGAGGCACTGGGGACAGGGAGCATCAGCCCAGGGACAATGTAATGATGTTCACAGATACTGCTGAGGTGTCACGCTTCAAGCAAAGCATGGGAAAGAAAGGGGTGCTCAAAAGCTGGACCGCTTGGTCTGTGTGTCCATTTGTTTGTGGTGGTGGTGGTGGGGACTAGCTTAGGGCTCCATGCATGCTCGATAAGCACTTAACACTGAGTCATACTCCCAGCCTCCCATGCCCACCTCCCCCTTCTGGAGACAGGGTCTCTCTGTAGCCCTGGCTGTTCTGGAACTAGGTAGACCACAGTGACTTCAGACTCAGGGATCTGCCAGTCTCTGCCTCCTGAGTGCTGAGATTATAGGTGCATGCCGCCACGCCCGGCTTTGCCTTTTAGTTTGCAGTCTAGGCTGCCCTCAAACTCTTGATCTTCCTGCCTCAACCTCTCAACTTGTTGGAATTACAGACCTGCACCACAAAAACCTGTCTCCCGACTGAGTGACCTAACTTTTTTTAGCTATCCAGTTCTCTATAAATTGGAATAGTTAGAGGGTTGTTGAGAGAGAGAGAGAAAGAGAGAGAGAGAGAGAGAGAGAGAGAGAGAGAGAGAGGAAGGGAACAGCATTTATAGGGGCTGAGAAATGATGGATCTTATGTTTTCAGGGGTCTCTAAGCAGCTGAGTTTGGCTAGAATGACGAAGAAAAGCTGTAAATTCAATGATGAGACTCGGACAAGCGGGAGGCAGGGGCCAGAGCACACGGGCACGAGCAGGAACTTTTCTGTGAAAATACCAGGGAGCCAATAATTGCTGTATCGAATGCTGCCAGCTGCAGGTGGACACGGGGTGTGAGGTCACACTGGAACTCAGGAGCCCACAGTCAGGTCCTTAGGGAGGAGTGGAGCAGCCATAGGGACAAAGGGACACCATGGGGCCCGCTGTAGGATGGAGCTGCTAGGGGAGAGGAGGGTCACCTAGAAGAGTAAGTACCAGGCTTGGGGTTGGTGCTGAACCCATGGAGGGACACTATGTTAAGAGGCTGTGAACACCAAGGAAAAGGCACTGGGTCCCTGGGACTGGACTCCAGAGAGAGCAGGGAGGAAAGGCCTGATGTGTGGGATGAGGAGATGTTAGTGTCCCTGGATTGAACTGGTCACTAGGATCCTGCATGGCTCAGGCTGGGTCCGGAGAGGGTGGTCCCAGGAGGGCCACTTTACCTCTCTACATCCCCTTCCGTCCCACAGGATGTCCTGTGTTTACGGAGGTGGCCTGGGCTGATGCCACCTCCATAAACTCAGCTTCCCATGACCACACCTCTTGGGTTAGAGAAAACGAAACACAGAGAGAGAGGAAGACATACAGACAGAGATGGAGAGGAAACAAAAGAGGAAACAGGCATAAGTACAGACATGAAGGACCGAGACCGAGACAGACACAGAGACATGAGTCACAGCAAGGCAGGAAAGATCATGTAGGAAAGATGGACAGACACTACCAGCACAATAATCCCAGGATTCCCAGGAGGCTGAGACAGAAGGGTCACAAGGTCAAAGCCAGCCTGAGCTCCATAGCAAACCCCTCACTCAGAAGCAGGTAAACACCTGGATGTGGTGGCTCGTGATTGTAGTCCCAGAATTTCCTTGTTGGAGGCTGAAACAGGAAGATTGCTATGGTCTGGAGGCTAGCCTGGGCTACATAGTGAAATCAAGGAAAGCCTTAGCTGACAGAGACCCTATCTCAAAAAATAAGCCAACAACAAAAATGTCGACTGACATGAAGTCTCCTTATTTTTTTTACACTTGCACTTTCTTTGTTGGGGAGGGTACATAAGTGTCATGGTGTGCCATGTGGAGGTCGCAGGACAGCTTGCAATGGTTAGTTCTTGCCTTCAACTACATGGGTCCTGGGGATCAAAACAAGTCTTTCTATTGTTGCCTGCTTTGTTGTTGTTGTTTATTTTATTTTTGGTTGATATAGGATCTTACTATGTTGCCCAGATTGGTCTCTAACCCCTAGACTTGGCCAAGTGATGGACCTGCCCAGTCTCTAGAGTACTGGAACTTTCATGCGAGTGATTGAGCTCACCGTTAGCACCATGTCTATTGGCTAAAAGACAGAATGCTAAGAGCTACAGGCAGGACTCAACAGCAGAGCACCTGCCTAAAATCCCCCAGTGAGGGAGGGGCAGAGGCTCAGTGATAGGGTGCCAACCTAGCATTTTAAGGGCCTGGGTCCCATCATTATTACCACAGGGGAGCTGGGGGAGGGGTGTGCAGAAAATATTTGAAGCCTGGCATGACCTGTACAGCTGTCATCCCAGGACTCCAGAGGCAAAGACAAGAGTCTCTCCATTGATTTCAAGGCCAGCCTGGGTTACAGTCTCTAAGAAAGACTAAATGTTCTTGTCTGAGATGGAGAAAGGTGATCTAAGGCTCCTGAGATGGCTCAGCAAGTAATGGCACTTATCCTCAAGCCTAATGGCCTGAGTTTGGTCCCTGGAATCTGCAGGAGAAGAGAACCCATTTCTGAATGTTGTTCTGTGATTTCCACATGAACACTGTGGTGTACACACACATACACACACAGGCACGCACGCACGCACCACCACCACCACCACTGTCACCACCACCAACAACAACAGTAGCTACATACAACAATAATAAATACACATTTTTTTTAGAGTTTGAGGGAAGGCAGGCAGTAGTAGTGCACACCTTTAATCCCAGCGCTCAGGAGGCAGAGGCAGGCAGATCTCTGTGAGTTCGAGGCCAGCCTGGTCTACAGATCGAGATCCAGGACAGGTAGGACTACACACAGAGAACCCCTGTCTTGAAAAACAAAACCAAACAGCAACAACAACAAAGAAAAACTTGAGGGAAGTTGTGAAGCTGGAGATGTGGCACACACCTTTAATGGCAGCACTGGTCACAAAGGCAGCTAGGTCTCTGAGTCTGAGCCAGCCTGGTCTAAATACTGAGTTCCAGGCCAGCCAGGGCTACATAGTAATGCCCTGAGGGAGCTCCGTTTTCTGAGAGAAATGGAGAGGACAGCATGTCCTAACTTCTTTCATTTTTGTTGGTTGTTTTGGGCTTTGAGACAGGGTTTCATGTAGCCCAGGCTGGCCTTAAACTCAG